GAGAGAGAGAGATTAATGCAGGCTGCTCTTCTCTACGTGGTCCCTTGCCAGGTTTTCTCTGTCCTGTTGCGCTGTTCTGCTTGCTGATCACCCGAAGCAGAGCAGCTTTGCTCTGCGATGTGCCTCAACCATAACAGTTACTCCTTACAGGTGCCTGGCTGTGGATGGAATCCCCGGAACCACAAGCCCACTCGGAACTCCCCTCCTCTAAATTGTGCGTGTCCCAGTGCTGGGCAGGTGGGCTAATAGCTGGCTCCTCCATGCCATGGTATGCGGGGGAGGCGATTCCTTCGGGTGACTGGAAAAGCTCAACTACAGATGCTACAGGAAGTGACAGGTCAACTGACAGCTCAACTGTCAGCTAGCTGTGTCATGTTCCTCTGATGGACATTTGCAGGGCTGCTTGCTAGTAGCTCTTGTGAAGTGCTCCCTGGATCAATAGTAACAGAACGTGGTGTTGTTGTTATTTTTACTACTACGTGTTTGGGATACATAATGGTCATACTCATCACGGATTAGTAAGTTCCTCTTATGGAATTAACATGTGCGTTATTGTATGTACATAAACATTTACATGCATGTACACATAGTTCACATGTGTGCACATTTGTGCACACATTCACATATGTAATTTTTAATTTATTTATTTTTTTTTTTTTTGCGGAACCGGGGATTGAACTCAGGCCCTTGCGCTTGCCAGGGAAGCACTTATTCCACTGCGCCGTCTCCCCGGCCCTAATTTTTTATTTATTTATTTTTTTTTTTTGCGGAACCGGGGATTGAACTCAGGCCCTTGCGCTTGCCAGGGAAGCACTTATTCCACTGCGCCGTCTCCCCGGCCCCAATGTTCACCTGTCATTTCCTGTAGCATCTGTAGTGTGGATAATTTAATCATCATTTTTTTTTCATGCAGTTTCATTGGGATTGACTTGATACCACTTAAAACATACAATAACACTGAAATGAAAATTCACCCGGTTGTATAATTTTAAGAAGAAATACTGCACAGGCTTGATTTGGAAGCAGTCGCAACACTGCCGAAGATTTGCACGGACAGTTTAGAGAACTGCGTTTTTCCTGAAACGTTTGAAAGGAAGCGGCCAGCCTAGTGCCTCGTATAGCCCGCAAGGTTAAGCATGCCTCTCCGCAGAGGAAGATTCTTCTCCGTGGACGCAGTAAGGCCCGCACAGTCAGAAAGTGACGGTGGCATACCCCTGCCTGCTGACAGTCGACCCCAGCCACTTACAGGGACGGTTGTAATAGTAGCCTTCATGCAGGCAGAAGCAGCCGGCTGGCATCTCCTGCTGTGAGCTTGAGTCTCCACCTCCCTTGGTCGGAGCAAATTTCCTGTAAGCCTTCAATCTTTTTTTTTTTTTTTTTCTTGGAAATCTCAGCTAACTGAAGAACTTCCTAAAAACTTCATAAATGCTATTTTAGGGAAGTACCCACATTTTTATAAAACAATACAAATAATTGCATTTTCTGGAATACTTTTTCAGTGTAAAGAAATACACGTATCTTCACATTCATGAGCGCCACTGTGTTCGAATTTACTTGTTTTCTAGTTATGCCTCTGCCATACGTATGTGTATGTATGTGTAAACTTAGATGTATGTAAGCAGAAAATTTCAGGGCATTCCTTGTTTTAAAGGAGTAATTTTTAAACTGTCTCTTGGTGTTTGAGATGTGTTTGCATTGGGTGTCACATGCTCACGGTGAGCTGTGTCCTGTCCAGCTCAGCCTCACTGATGCGTGAGGTCGGGTAACCCTTGCAGGGTTGTCCAGCGCACTGCAGGACACCGAGCAGCATCCCGGGCATCCCTCTGCTCAGTATCAGCAGCTCCCCACCATCCCGACAACCAAAAAATACCTCCAGATTGGTCACACATCTCTGTAGGGAAGAAGGGTTGGGAACATGCCCCTGGGGTGGAACTGCTGAAGCAACTTTGAGAACAGCTTTGTAACTTCAAAGGCTCTCTGTACAGTTGGGGTGGACATAATTATAGATGATAGCTGAAATTTCAGCATTTTCATGATTAGGTGTAGCTACAGATTTCAAGAGTCAAGCCAGGTGTGATGGCTCACACCCGTTATCCCACCGCTTGAGCGGCCGAGGCAAGAGGATCGCCATGACTTGGAGGGGCTACGGATCAAGTTCAGGGCCAGGTTGACTACATAGTGAGACCCTGTCTCAAAAAAACACGAAAAATTTGAGAGTCAAGAAGACCTGATCCGGGAAAATGTTGAATATTTCTGGGAACAGATTTTTATACATTAAAAATGATGTAGGACATTTCCTGTTAAATGCAAATATAGCGTGGGCGAAACTTAATCCTCTTTCCTGTCAATTAAGTAAATGACTATGAATAGACTTAGGTAGGATTTCTTGTCAATTATGAAGGTGACTCAGGGTGTGCCAAATAGCTCAGTGGATTAAGGTAGCTGCGAGCAGGCGCAGGGGCCAGGGGTTCAGTCCTCAGGCCTGCCCTGCTGGCCCTGCTCCCAGGGCGGTGCTGAGAGGGCAATTGAGACTGGGTGTGGTGGTGCGCTCCTGTACTCCCAGCACTTGGGAGGCTGTAAACAGGAGAATCACTAAGAGTCTGATCTAGTAGTGAGACCCTGAACACCCTGTAGATCCTTCCCTGAAATACAAATGGGGCTGTGGTGAAGCACCCATTCCTGGTAACGATGTTCCTAGGACTGTTTGTCCCCACCCAGTTCACAGTCAAAACCAGCCCTGCTACTGCTATTTTCTGTGGTGCCAAGTTCATATTTTTCAGTTATCAGCTGCCTCTGGTTATTAAGTTGCAGTCCACTACAGATCATTTGCAGTGAGTGTGTATTAATTTCCAATCTCCTTTCTGCCAAACTTTTTTTTTTTTTTTTAAACTAAATTCTTTGTGGCAGAAAGGGAGAGTTGGGACCAAATCATTTCACCCAGCAGCTTTGGAGCTCTGGGATATGTCAGAAACTGCAGCATGACTAGCTCTAGGTGCTTCGAGAGAACGGCATGACCTTATTGATGTGTGGCTTTTCAGTCATGCGGGTATTGTGTTACTGCTGCTTTTGAAATGCCTTAGAAATATTTTACAGCAAAGAAGTGTTTATTTTGGAACTACTTGGTGGATTTTATAAGGGCACTATTACCTAGTTGTTTGCTTACTACAGAGGAAAACGTTTAGGGGATGCTTTCCAAATTAGTCACCTGCTTATTCTTTTATTCCCTCCAAGAACAAACCTGTGGGCTTGAGAGGGTGTTCAGGTAGCTCAGGAATCAAAGGAAACCCGAGGGAAACAGAATCAGACAGTGTAATTCCAGTGCCGTGATGATAACTTGTGGCAGAAGGTTCCGAATTTAAAAAGAAAGAAAACGAAAGTCAAACATAAAACTGAGGAGAAGATACTGGTAGCTTGGAGACTCATAAAGTTATCAGCCAAAGAGGTTCCAGGCGACGCGATTGCACTTCATTCTTGGTTCCTTGCTTTCTGCAGCCCCTTCCTCTGGCCTGCTCTTCTGTCAGTTGTCCCAAAGAATTAGTAAAGCAGAGAACATCGTAGGCATTGGCTAGGCCTGAATGGCGGTGTCTGTGAAATTGGATTTATAAGTAAAAGGGAATTTCTGCCAAAGAGTCAACAAAGAGATTGTGTGGCATGGTGGTGAACAGCAGATATTGGTCCAGACTTGTCTAGCTGGGTGACAAAGAGACGCCGGGCTCAGAGTGGAGATCTGGAACCTCGAGGCGGGAGGCGGGAGGATGTGCAGTCCCTGGAGGACAGGAATTGGGATGCATCGTGAGCAGCGAAGGCTCTCCAGTGGGAGCTGGGTTTCACTGCGGCTGCTAAATGCTACATCGAAGCTTGTGCAGTGACCAGTGGTATAGGCCACGAGGTTCATATTCACCTGAGGATAGAGTGTGAAGATGTGGGGAAAACCCTTTTGTTAACTGTTTCTCCCATGCCTCCCGATAAGAGCATTGCCCGCTCGCTTTTTGCCTGTGGCACCAATTTGCAGAGTACCACAAGGAAATCCAGGTTCCATCCACGCTGTGCGTCTTGATTCCTTACTTAGCTTTACGTGGAAAAGGAACTGAAACAGTGCTTCCTCCGAGAAACTCCCATGCCCCATCCATTGAGCTGGAAAGTCTCCCAGCCCCAAGCAGGACCTCGCTTCTCCAGGTCACCTGTGTCCTCCCACCTCCTCTCCCTGGTTAGTTTCTCTCCTCTGGGCGCTGCCTCTGAACATCCAAGTTCGTCTGCCGCCTGGTTTTGTTCGCTGGATGCTTTGTTTACTCTCAGCTGTGTCAGGCTCATACTTTTGACTTTTTTTTTTTTTTAGAATATTAAATTTTCTGTGTGCATCTCGCTGCTGGGCCATGCCCAGGATCATTTCATCGTTATTCCTGGTAAATTGCTATGTTCTTAACTCTTCCCTTTCCAACAGACCACCTCAAGTGCCTGGCTCTGTGTAAGCAGAGCTACCTGTGTATGAGAGAGGACAGCTTTGGGAGCGGTGCCAGTCGCCGCGAGTAAAACGCTGTCGACCGGCAAGGACGTCCGGGGGACAGGGAAGGACCCAGCGTTCCTCATTAGCCCCAGTGGCTTGCTGGCCCCGGTGCAGGGTCTTACCTGCAATTGCATAAGCGCTGGCTGCCCTGTATTTCTTACCTAATGACAGCATTGCTAGGCTGCAGATGAAACTTAGGCAGCCACAGCCTGCAGCTGCATTCTGTAAGATATTCAGCTCTTGAGAGGCATCGACCGTGGTTTTCTTTGGACAGTATAGCAGCGCTTTGACAGACGCCCAGGGACAGCTCTTCTTCACCTCCGTATGTCCTTCTAATCTCACCATCAAGCTGCCTCTTCTGTTTTAAATGAAGCTTCTTGTAGTTTGCAGTCCGGGCCACTTCTTTGCTCTTTCTCTTTTTAAATGCATCATTATATGCCTGGGAGAAGCTGCCAGTCAAACATGCCCGCTGGTCACGAATAGAAAGTGACTTCTTGTTTACATTCTTGCTTGACTCAGCAGAGCTACTGCAGCCCGACCTCTAAAGGATTTCCCCTGCCCTTTTGCCTGAGGAGTATGTCTACTTTGATGGGTGTTACCTGCAGTGGTTCCTCATGAAATGCTGGTATGTATGATCATTGCATTCCATTTCGGTGTTTCCTGAGTCTTGCCTGTAAGTTGTATGAGGCCAGCGCTCAAAGAATAGTGGCTCCACTGAAGCTAGCCTGCTCCCTGTGACGCTGGTAGTGGCCAGAATTGGGGGCCTGAGGGCGTGAGTGATGCCTTGTCCTCTCGCATGTAAGAATTTCCCATGAGAGTTAAGCCTTGAGGATCTCCTCATTCCAAGCCTCGTATTAGAGGTCATTGTCATTCACAGGTTGGGAGAAGTTGAGAACTCTTGTCACCAGCACAGGAATGCGAATAGAAGTGGGTTCTTTTCACACTGAAGTGCTGTACCTGGGAACAGCAGTAACAGGTGGCTCAAGCTGTCTGGGAGCATTGCAGACCCAAGGTTAGAAAACACCTGTGCAGTGCAGCACTGTCCCAAGCAGAATCTGGCTACAGAACTTCGATCCTGGCACTGTCCCCACTTCCAGCAAGTGTATGCCGCAGCTACTTACTGCGTGGGTGGCTGGATGAATGAGAACAAGTCCATTCTCAGCTGAAGGAATGCAAATGGCAGATAAATACATGAAAAAGGGTTTAACATCGTTGGTCATTTGAGAGATGCAAAGCAAAACAACACTGAGATTCCATCTTACCCCAGAAAGAATGGCTGTCTTCATGAAATCAATCCAATAACAAATGCTGGAAGGGCTGAGGGGAAAAAGGAAACCCTTCTCTACTGTGGGTGGGAGTACGGACTGGTCCAACCACTACAGAAATCAGTGTGGAGACTCGTCAAAAAACTAGGATTGGAGTTTCTGTTCAAGCCAGCTATTTCCCTCCTGGTGTCTTCCCAGAAGAATTAAAAACATCACACCACATCAACATATGTACATCCATGTTTATAGTGGTGCAATTTGTTATAGCTAAATCTTGGCAACAACCCAGATGCCCATCATCTGAGGAATGGATAAAAAAGATGTGGTGCTTTTACACAATGGAGTATTTTTTTATTTTTATTTTATTTTAATTTTTTTGTGTGTATTTTTTAGAGAAGGGTCTACATACAGTGTGTTCAGGGTCTCACTACTAGATCGAACACTAGGGATTCTCCTGTTTACAGCCTCCCAAGTGCTGGGATTAAAGGGAAGTGACACCATGCCCAGTCTCAATCTCTGTCTCAGTGTACCCCGGGAGTGGGGCCTGGGGAATCAAACTCCTGGCCCCTGCATCTGCTTGCAGGTGCTTTAATCCTCTGAGCTTTTTGGCTGGCCCTCACAATGGAGTATTACTAAGATATAAAGAAAGATAAATTTGAGGCTTTCTTTTTAATCCCAGCATCAATACCTCCAACCCAGCCACCTTCAAAGCACCCATGAGCCCATGGGGTTGCGGAATATGTAGATACAAGTTGTCCTGCGCACCTGCCAGTTTCCTCTTTATCCTGGGAGCGTGTCCGGTCATTGTCCTCCAGCACTCTGACTCTG